TTCCATTACGTTTCCATTTGCCTTACAGCTTTCGCGACTATTCCTGCTTCTCTAATTCAATGAACCTCCCGGGCCACCGTACGCCCCGTCCAATTTCCATGTTTTAAACCGAATTTATCAGGACAAATAGAGCTACGACGGCGGCGGCGGCGGCGTTTCGTTTGGCGTTTACCTCTGCATATTGACAGGCGTTAAGGGGGAGGGGCTTACGTACGCGGCTATTGTAATCCGCGAAATTGCTTCTGCCGTCGCACTCGCTGTTGACACACACGAGGATTTATCACAGACTCGAATTCTCTCAACACCACATCTGGCATTAAAACGGCGAGTATTGAAACGGCCAAGTATTGAAAGCTCTGAGCGGCCAGTCGCTTTTTACAAATTGTGAAATGAAATATATGTGCATAAATACATCAATAATCAGTGTTGGGAAGGTGACTTTTAAAATGTATTCCCCTACAGATTACAGATTACATACCCCAAAATGTAGTTTGTAACGGAATCCATTAAGTTACTTGAGCTGAGTAACGTAATCTGAATACTTTGGATTACTTGATTTGCTGTAGAGAAGCAAAGACGAGGAAATCGTAACATAAGATGTTTTGTCTGATAAAAGAAAATAAAAAGCCCAGACTTTACTGAACCAAATTAAAAATATTATAGATAGAGGAGGAGACACGTCCGCGCAGCATGGTTTAGTCCTGTTAAATCCTGTCCTGGTTTAGTCCTGTTTAGTCCTGTTTTAGTCCTGTTTAGTCCTTTTAGTCCTGGTTTAGTCCTGGTTTTAATCCTGTCCTGTTTTAGTTTTAGATCTTTTAGTTGGTTTAGTCCTGGTTTAGTCTGTTTAGACCTGGTTTTAATCCTGATTTATTCCTGGTTTATTCCTGGTTTAGTCCTGGTTTAGTCCTGGTTTAGATCTAGTTTAGACCTGGTTTTAATCCTGATCCTGGTTTATTCCTGGTTTAGTCCTGGTTTAGTCCTGGTTTAGTCATGGTTTAGTCCTGATTTAGTCCTGATTTATTCCTGGTTTAATCCTGGTTTAGTCCTGGTTTAGTTCCTGGTTTTCCTGGTCTAGTATTAGTCCTGGTTTAGTCCTGGTTTAGTCCTGGTTTAGCTCTAGTATAGACCTGGTTTAATTTTTGTCAATGAGTGGAATTACCAAAAAAAAAAAAAAAAAAAAGGGGGGGTATAGCCCAAAATGTGAAAACAGGAAAATACCGCCATGCAATCCATTTATTTCAACAAGTAACTGTAATCCAATTACCACTCACTGAAACAGTAACTGTAACTGAATACAGTTACTCATACTTTGTACTCTGATTACGTAACTCCAGTACATGTAATCTGTTACTCCCCAACACTGTCAATAATGAGCATAATGTGGTCACCTCAAATGTTTTAGGGAGAGGTAACGTTAGGTTGGACACTCCTGCTTAAAAACAATGTTTAAGGGTTGTTAAAAGTATCAAAAATCGGACACTAATCGATACAAAAACTTTTTTTGAGCAGGTATCGATACTAAAAAAAGTTACATTCACATTACAGAAATTAATCTTTCCTGAATAGCTTTAGAATGATCTTGGTGTATCAGAATAAGTATAAGAGCACATAAATGAGTTTATCTACATGAACGAGAAATATAAGAAGACCAGATGGTAATTTAAAAGAAAATACTATGGGCCCGGTCAAGCAGAAGTAAACAACAAGGCCAAAAATTCAATGCATCTGATATAAAAATGTATTCAACAGATACATATGTACTCTAGTTTATGAAGCTGTTTACCTTTTTTCTGTACCATTTTTGGTTCTAAAGTTACATATGTTTTAAACAGACCATGTATGAAACATGGAACAAAAATTATTTCCCAAATTTCAAAGACCTGAAAATCATGTAAATAAACTGATGTATTTCATCATATCTTGTGTTATTCCATCTTTGAACTGTTGATGAAGGTACATGATTTTTTTTTTTTTAATGTATTTAAAATGATAAAAAATTTGCTTGGAAGGACTGACATTTTTTATAGAAATAGTTTCCTTTCATTTTGAAGTAATATTAAAGTATTCGGAAGAAAAAAGTTGACAAATTATGTAAAATCCTGCACCTTCTACTTGCTGCACAATTTTCCCTCTGATACTACTTTCCCTCCGTTACCATGACCTTTCTTAATAAAAAATCTCATTACTGAAAAAGTATGAGGTTTTTCAACCTAATCTTGTACCATATGGTAGAAAACTATATGAAGCAAATATTCAAACCAGTTTGTTAAGGATATGTAAGTGAGAACCAAGAGTTATCACTGTTTGGATTTATCGCCCAAAAAGTGCTGCATATTTCATTCCCTCCGTTACCGACATGAGTTTTAAAATTTTTTGTCAACAACTTGAAAGAATATCACAGGTTTAACTTTACCCTGTTGGAGTGTAACTCTTTCCTACATTTTGATACTTTACTTATTTCAATAGTCCCTCTAGTTTCTGAATAAGAGACATTTGAATGTAAAAAAAATCTGTCCCTGTTTCCCTCCGTTACCACTTGACTGGACCCTATGATTTAATGCTGAAAATGACATGACAAGTGTTTTTTGTTTTCATTATCAGTATCGGTATCAAGTACAGAGTCTATTCCTTAGTATCGAAATCAATTTTGAAATTTTAGTATTGTGACACTACTAACTTCATATTAGAAATGTCAAACTAAATAATCAAATATTTTTTTTATAAGTAGAGCATTTTTTGTGAGTTTTTGTATATCATTGGATAATCAAACGCTAATATATTTCTTCAGCTGTTTTCTTTGTCGACTTCACCAACAGAAAAGTTTGAGACATTTGGGCTGAAAAATGTACATATCTAATTGCAATTTTTCCTGACAAGCATCATGATAGTGATTACTTTTGGGATTTGTTTTAATAGGATTCTGTTCAAACTTCACCGTTTAAAAGTTCTATATTACACAAAATAGTTTCTCATGATGTTGTTTCCTCATCACAAACACGTCTGGACTTGTGTTTTGTTTCATTCACAAGTTTGTGTGACGCTGCTTTATTATGAAGTGGTAGTTTTTAAGTTAACGACGACCTTTTTCCTTTGTTTGGTCATTCCAGGGCTTTAATGATCCAAACCATTCTAGTGAAGGTGTATGGAGTTTAAAAACACAGTGGAGCGTTTTCTGTATAACCACATGACATCATAAGGTGGAACTGAGTGTTTTCTGTTTGAGAGAAGAACTCAGTCTAAATTTGCAGAGTTTTGGGATAAATAGTGTTGTAGTATTCGAGACTGGTCTTGGTCTTGAGACTGGCCTCAAGACTCGGACTCAAACAAACTGGGATCTTGTCTTGAGGGTGCTTGGACTTGGTCTTGTTACAGACTCAAGGTCTCACACTCGACAAGTGCGATCATATTTCATTCCAGCTGCTGTTGTTGTAATAAACGTGTACTGGTGTGCAGGACCACGCGGGGCTCCTCACTGCAGCCTGGGCACTCGTCTGGAGCCCACGGACGCTGCGCACATGTGGTATGAAGATAGATTCATAAAAACATTGAGATAAATACAATACCAGTCAAAAGTTTTAAGAACATCCTCATTTTTCCAGTTATTTATTGCAATTCAAGCTCTGCCACAACTACCTCAGGAACACAGAACAAGATGGTAAAGCTTGAAAACCTGGAGTGTCCAGCAGCACAGTCTCCAGACTTAAACCCATCGAGCTGGTTTGGGATGAACTGGACAGAAGAGTGAAGCAACCTACAAGTGCCACACATTTATGGGAACTTCTGCAACAGACTTGGGAAGAACTTTCTGAAGAATATTTGATTTCTGTGTGTGTTCAGCTGTTACATCTGCCAAAGGTGGACACTTTCATGAATCAAAAGTTTAAAATATGTTTTGGTCAACAGTAAAAAAACAGTTAAAAAAAATGGAAAAAGTGTGGTGTCTAAAGCTTTTGACCAGTAGTGTATGTGCCAAAATAACTCTAAAATACAAATAAATGTCTAACATTACAAGGATTTTGAATGTGGTCTCGATGTGGCCTCGATCTGACCTCGATCTGACCTCGATCTGACCTCAATCTGACCTCGATGTCTCCTCATCTGACCTGGCCAATCTTGGTCTCCATTGGTCTCTCGATGTGGTCTCGATGTGGTCTCGATTTGGTCTCGATGTCTCGATGTGGTCTCGATGTGGCCTCGATGTGGTCTCGATGTGGTCTCCATGTGGTCTCGATTTGGTCTCGATTTGGTCTCGATTTGGTCTCAATTTGGTCTCAATTTGGTCTCGATGTGGGTCTCGATGTGGTCTCGATGTGGTCTCGATGTGGCCTCGATGTGGTCTCCATTTAGGCACAATTTGGTCTCGATTTAGTCTCAATTTAGTCTCGATCTGACCTCTATGTGGCCTGTATGTGGCCTCGATTTGATCTCAATCTGGTCTCGATTTAGTCTTGATTCGGCCTCGGTCTGGCCTCGATCTGGTCTCAATCTGGCCTCGATTTGGTCTCAGTTTAGTCTCGATTTAGTCTTGACTTGGTTTGTGATGAGGAAACAACATTATCGTCACATCTCCCTTAAAAACGGGCCCTTTAAGAAAACTTATATACATATAGACGACTTAAAAACAAAAAACCTGAAACATGAACTGACAATATAAAAGTACAGAATAATCACTCTTCAAAACATGCTTGTAAAAACCGAACAGAGACTAAACTTCCAGCCTCGTGGAACGCTCATGGGGGGGGGGGGAGCTAAATTTATCAAGAAAAATAAACCTCCAGCGTGTCCGTCTGTTTCCACGGCAGCGGTGTTCGTGTTTACCTCCGCATATTGAGGCGCATTAAGGAGGAGGAGCTTATGTACGGGGACAGTTGTAATCCACAAAATTGCTTCTCCCTTTCTCCGCGCTGGTCCCCGTAAGCCTGTTATCATGCCCTGTTGACACACACAGATTTATCACAAACGAAATGAGACGAAGGGAGCGGGCAGGAAATGAGTCGGAGGGAAAAAAAAATAAAAAAATCCCGGAGCGATCTGTCCGCGGAGTGAGCGATGGCTGACAGGAGACACATAGGGCACTTCATAACGCGATCAATTAATCTATAAATGTAATCAGCGACAATCAATGGCTGCCGTTTCACTTCAGCCCACATCTTTAGTCATCCTCGAGTGTTTCAGAAGACGGATGAAACAAACTCCAGACCAGACGGGCAGTATTTCAAAAATCAAGGAACCTTTAATAGCAACGGAATACAAATAAAAAGACATGACAAATGGTGATAACAATTACCATTCTTTCTTTTTTTTTTTTTTTCTTTTTCTTTTTCCAATAAGACAAAATTAAAAAGTACAAAAAAATACAGCTTTTACACGGAGCAGTCGATAAAAAAGCACATTTGGGGGTTTCGTGTTGTGTACAGTTTCGTTTTACAGAGAAAACACGGTAACACTTTAGTTTAGTGATCACATATGAATTGCTAACGTAGTAAAATGTATACAGTAAATTTTGGTAGTATTTGTGAAGTACTTACAAGTATTTTTTTGCTGTATGTACAAGTATTTTTAGCCAATACACTCATTTTCCCCTTTTAAATGTTATTCATTTGCATCATTACCAATGTGTTACATAACCGTCCCCTTAAAGTTAAACTATGTAACATTCTAGTTGAGGGTCCACCAAAAGCTTGTTGCCGTGAACATATTCTAACTTGGCTCTGAGTGTTCCTTAGTGTTGCATTTATCATCTCCATGGAGACAAGCAAGCAAGGTCAGATCTGCGGAAAGGTGATCCTGCTTATAGTAAGAATTCATGTTTTTCCAGGCATTTTTTGCATTTTTAGCAACTACAACATTTGCGATCTGATAAATGCAAGATGGATATGTTTAATGCCATACTGTGGAACATTCTTGGCAATATAATTTCCATGGAGACAAGCCGGTAACACCACCAAGGCCAAGTTACAAGTCAGATCTGTGGAAATATTCAGTTTTTCCAGGCATTTTTTTTGCAACTAAAACACTAGAAATTCGATAAATTCAAGACGAATATGTTTAATGCCATACTGTGGAACATTCTTGGTTGTATAATTTCCATGGAGACAAGCTGGTAACGCCACCAGGCCAAGTTACAAGTCAGGTCTGTGGAAAGGTGACCGTGCTCACAATAAGAATGCATGTTTTTCTAGGCATTTTTTTGCAACAAAAACACTAACAACTGGATAAACACAAGATAGATAAAGTTTAATGCCATACTGTGGAACATTCTTGGCAATATAATTCCCATGGAGACAAGCAGGTAATGCCACCAGACCAAGTTACGAGTCAGATCTGTGGAAACCCTGCTCACGGTAAGAATGCATGTTTTCAAGGTATTTTTTGCAAGGCATTTTTTTTTTTTTTTTTTTGCAACTAAAACACTAATGATTGGATAAATGGAAGATAGTTCAAGTTTAATGCCATACTGTGGAACATTCTTGGCCGTATAATTTCCATGGAGAGAAGTAGGTAACGCCACTGAGTCAAGTTATAGGTCAGATCTGTGGAAAGGTGACCCTGCTCGCAGTAAGAACGCACGTTTTTCCAGGCATTTTTTGCAACTAAAACACTAGTAATCGGATAAATTCAAGATGGATCCGTTTAATGCCATGCTGTGGAACATTTTTAGCTATATAGTTTCCATGGAGACAAGCTGGTAACGCCACCAGACCAAGTCACAAGTCAGATCTGTGGAAAGGTGACCCTGTTCCCAGTAAAAAATACATGTTTTTCAGGCATTTTAGCAACTACATTTGCAATTGAATACATACAAAATACGTTTAATGCCATACTGTGGAACATTCTTGGCTGTACAATTCCCACGCAGACAAGCAGGTAGTGAACCCCGCACCAGAAAAGCAACATTTAACACCCATTATAAACACTAAATACTAACGAATAACCAGTCCATCAATTGTCTCTTAGTTAGCGATTCATTTGTTGTCTCTAAACTAAAGTGTTACAAAAAATAAAAAAAAAAAAAAATCTTGGCATCAGTCACAGCGCGGCAGTCGAGAATAAAGCACTCGGAAAAACATAAATTATAAAGCACTGCAAAAAGAACAGAGGAGGAGAATCCTGAAAAGAAAAACCAAACGAAATCCTTCATGCGGTATTTGCTGTCACTGAGAAATACACAAACGTGACGCCATAAATTAGTAAGTCTTTTCTCGGCTACATATTTATATATTTATACTATGTACACAGAAAAGGGGTGGTCTTTGAATGCTGTGAGATGTTAAGGCTTCGTTTGAACCACAATTCAGAAAAAGTTGGGACACTTTTAAATGCAAATGGCGATAGAACGCGTTGGTTTATAAATGTTTTTAGGTGTTGAAGCCGATATTAATCTTTTATGACAAATCGTTTTGAATTCGGGAAGTAGGACAGGCAACAAAGAGCGAGCTGTGATTGTTTTTGAATAAAAGGAAAGTCAAAATTTGTATTATTACGGACAACTAATATGTCAAATTTAACGGGCCCAAGTTAAACTATTTTCTAATTTGTGTTATAAAGTTGTTTCTTCGTCAAAAACAAACCTGGAGTTGGGTTTTGTTTCGTTTCGTTCACACGTTTAACGCACAAACTCTGCATATTTAGAGTTTTTCCTCTCAAATGGAAAACACTGCTCCACCTTATGATGTCACGTGGTAATACAGGAAGTGCTCCATTGTGTTTTTAAACTCCATACACCTTCACTAGAATCATTTGGAGAATTTTAGCCAATCTCTACTGAATTAAAAGGTTAAAGAAATGCAAAAAAATGTAAAAAGAAATGCAAAACCTTTGGACGCACCTCCAAATCTTGGACTAGACCTTATATTTGGATGAATTTCCTCGACTAAAATCTTCCTAAAAATGTAAACATGCAATAAATGTCTGTAAATAAATGTAAATGTGCAATAAAAACATCTGCAAATTACCGTTTCTCTGTCCTAACCTTTACCGATTTGTCGCCGCTGTCGCCTTCCCATTTGACAATTTTATTTTCGCTTGTCTGGCTTGAAAATCACAGCATTCTGTTCTACAAGTGTCCCAACTTCTCCTAAATTGGGGTTGCGTTTGTGGCCAGTGTGTGTGCGAGACTCAGAGGAAGAAAAATGAAACGAAAACATCAAGATATTGTTTGTTTAACCTTGCGCTAGACCTAGTACTTTGATCCTGTGAATTGCTATAAAAGCTATTTGTCTGGATTCAGGGGGAGGACTTGTGACGGCGTCTGTGTCTCACGGGGGAGTCGACGTTTAGAAGGAGAGAAACAAGGGGGGGGCTACCAAAGTTAAAAACAACATATTTTGGTAGGCGTGTAAGAAATCCAAGTCGGTAAAAGCTTTTAACGCCGACCTGAGGGTGGGAGGAGGTCGGCGCTGTGGCATTTTCATGAAACGACTGGAAATCTTTTAAAAACTGAGTCTGAACAGATTGTGTACTGTACGTGTCGGTGTGTGGCACTTTGATTTTCGGGTATGAGGAGGAAAAGAAAAAAAAAAAAAAAAAAAAAAAATGAGAAGCTGTGTTACATCACTTCGGTATTGACCAAAAACGGTTGAATACGATTTTTTTGCGCAGTGCCTGTTTTGCCACGTGCTATGCCAATGCAACTGTGTGGGTTTATGTCAGAAGATGGCAAAGTTGTCAGGTATGAGGTGTCTTGTGCGCAGTTTGGCTGTGGGAGTGAGCATAATGAGAGAGTGAAGCGCGTGGGAGACGGAGGAGAAAAAAAAAAAGATTTCTCTGCATTCTCCTGTATATATGCTGCAGTGTACACTTTGTCTCTTTGGAAAATACACTAGAAAGTCCAGCATCTTCAACTCGCTCTCATCACGGACAAATTGCTCGGTTTATACGGATGCTACGACCCTCGATAGGAGTCAGGGGAGTCGAGAAATCGCAAGTTTAAAAGGTGCAAACTTTTCCGGTGGAGGGTCCGCCACCTGCTTTAGTCCACGGAAATGTCATTGCTTCGTCTGGACCAAACGAAATCAAGTGACATGTCAGAAAGCCGATTTTTCTAGGTATTTCTGAGCAATAAAACTACCCGCACTTGATTAAATGCAAAGTAGATCTGTTTACACTGTGGAACAATCAAAGCAGAGCAATGAAATATCCATAGAAACAAGCAGGTGATGGACCCCTGACTCAAAAGTTGTGTACTGCACCTTTAAAGTGGAACTAAATCTACTAAATCAACCTTTTTTTTTGCGACTAAACTGTGCGTCTGGTGTTTTTTGAGTAAGGTAATCTAGATATGTTTGCATGTTTCTGGTCAAAAAGCCGTCAAGAACTGCAATTTCAAGTACTACGTGACATCACACAGAGTTTGATAGGAGTCAGAGGAGTCTAGAAATCAGAAGTTTAAAGGTGCAAACTTTTCTGGTGGAGGGTCCGCCACCTGCTTTAGTCCATGGAGATGTTATTGCTTCATCTGGAATGTTTCACAGTATGGCGTTAAATCTTTTTAACATGGAGACCAAATGAGACTTGTGAAGGTATTTGAGCAATAAAACTACCTGCAATTGAATAAATGCAAGGTAGATCTGTTTATACTGTGGAACAATCAAAGCAGAGCAATGAAATATCCATAGAAACAAGCAGGTGATGGACCTCTGACTGAAAAGTTGCGTAGTGCACCTTTAAAGTGGAACTTTTTGCTATTAAACTGTGTGTATGGTGTTTTTTTTTTGAGTACTGCAATCTAGATGTTTGCACGTTTCTGGTCAAAAGCCGTCAAGAACTGCAATTTCAAGTACTACGTGACATCACACAGAACTTGATCAGAATCAGATAAGTCTAGAAACCACACGTTGCGAGGTGCATTGTGAAACTTTTCCGGTGGAGGATCCGCCACCTGCTTTAGTGTCTGGAATGTGAAACATGGTCTTAAATCTTTTTATCATCATGGAGACCAAACAAAACCAAGTTACAGTCTGTTTTAAAGTCTGTTTTTGTACGTATTTTTGAGCAATAAAACTACCTGCAATTGATTAAATGCAAGGTAGATCCTTCACATTAAGCCATACTGTGGAATATTTGAAGAAGAGCAATGACATATCCATAGAAAACCAGCAGATGAAGGTCCCCCAATTGAAAAGTTACGTGGTGCACCTTTAAAGTGGAACTAAATCAACTTTTTTTTGCTACTAAATTGAGTGTGTGGTGTTTTTGAGTACGGGCATTAGTCCTTTTTTTTCAGTGCAATCTTGATATGTTCGCAAGTTTCTGGTCAAAAACCGTCAAGAACTGCAATTTCAAGTACTACGTGACATCGCACAGAACTGCCCCGATTAAAGCTGGGCGTTTCTGATCACAAATACTTGGCTGTAAGGTAAGAGTTTGACCAATCGCACAATTTTTTTTTTTTCTTCATTTATGTCCAGACTCCGCCCCTTTTCTCCACCCTCACTCTTTCGTCCAGATGCCGCACACTTTGGCAACTCTATTTGAAATGTGGTCGTGGGAGGAGTTTCGGTGTTAGTATTTTGTGGATTTTGTAGAAGTGGGCGATATGCTTAAAAAAAAAGATAACAAAACAAAAGTCACATGGTTTTCTTAAAGCCTAGATCACTATTTCAGTTTTGATAAGAGGTAACTAAAACCAAAATTCCTCTTCTGACCGTTCACCCTTCGCTGATTGGTTAAATCCACCTGTCAATCACTCAGAACTTCAAAAACTAACCAATAGGAGGAGAGGATGGTGAAAGTATAGAAGTCCATATATACCAAAAGCCACATTTTCATCACATCGCCCAGCTCTTGTTTTTTTTTTTTTGTATCCATGGTTTAATTCGTGAACTAGAAGAGTTTTACAGATATATCAGAGGAAGGCATCCAAAATAAGATGTGCTTTTGTGAAAAAAAAAACTTAAAACAATTGTAATTTTACATTGTCATAACATAAAGTCCGTTGAAACACCTGATTCTCACGTGTAAGATCAGTATGTCATGTTCAAACCGACAAAAAAAACAAAAATACAATGGATCAAATTACATTCTCAAGACAGTCTACTTCACCCTTTCCCCCCGCCTAAGTCCGTAAATTTCACCAACCCCGTTTTTGTTATTTACATTGGTCATAAATATCCACATTTCCACAAGAAAAATAAAGATGCTTACATATATAGTACACGGATACCTCACACCAAAATGTACACACAACACTTGTCCCGTTCGGCAGTTTCAAATTCACAAGTGCAAAAATAATACATTTGTGAGATCTACTGTGTCTGTCCGGTACGCCGTTTTTTTTACCCACACGTCCCCAGGAGTTACATTGTGTACAAGCTAAGGCCATTAAAACGACAATCCCTTTAAAAACACCGGCGTTCTACACGACAAGTTACATCCCGTCTCCCTCCGGTTCTTCTGCATCTGCTTCTTTCTGTAGGTCCGCAGTCCTCGCAACGGCAAAGCAATTCTATAAGCTCCGGTCGACTTGCGTTACGTCAAGTTACGGAGAACTGGAAATGTACTCCGGGTAACAATTTCGACCTTTTCAACTCTGACCCTTTAAAAGTGCACACGACAGCTTAGATTACTCGTGAAACTGAAACGGAGTTAAAGACGCATTGTGTAGGTTTTCTGGTGGAGGATGTACGTCAAATGCTTGTTGTTGTTTTGTCTGGAATGTTCCGCAGTATGGCTTTAAACCTTTCTATCTTCACGGAGACCAGACCAGACCAAGTTACAGGTCAGATCTGTCGAAAGGCGAGTCAGAATACCTCTTTTTTTAAAGTATTTTTGGGCTATAAAACCACCTGTAACTGAATAAATGTAATGTCGAGTTGTTTAATGCCATACTGTGGGACATTCCAGGCAGAGCAATGACATATCTATAGAAACACAGTGACACAGGTCAGATCTGTGGAACGGTGACCCTGCTCACAGTCAGAATGCTGTTTTTTTATTTTCTTTTGGTATTTTTGAGCTATAAAACCACCTGTAATTGAATAAATGTAATTGCGAGCGGCTTAATGCCATACTGTGGGACATTCTAGGCAGAACAATGACGTAGCTATAGAAACAGGCAAGTGACACAGGTCAGATCTGTGGAAAGGTGATCCCCTCAGAGTCCGAACGGCTTTTTTTTTTTTTTTTAAGTATTTCTGAGCTACAAAACCACTTGTAATTGAATAAATGTAATTGGGAGCTGTTTAAAGTCATACTGTGGGACATTCCAAGCAAAGCAACGACATATCCATAGAAACAAGCAAGTGACAAACCCCTAACCAAAAAGTTACACAGTGCAGCTTTAACATAATACTTACAATTTTACTACAAATCATTATAAAAGTGCATCATTTTACTTCTTGGTAGGACACTGGTATCACCTATGACATATGTATAGATAATAATCGTTTCCTAGCAACCAGTGCCGTTTACATGGGCCAAACTCGTCTAAATTGCACAATAGATTAGACTAACACAAATAAAACGCCAAAATGTTTATCCTGTTAGTTTAAGAGCTTAAACTGCCAGAAAAACAACGCCTTACTTGCGTGCAAATTGTTCCAGCAATTTGAATGGAATTTTCTGCGAAATGACATTGAGAAATCAAGTTTTGGACTCAGCTTTTTTCCCACAAACTGCCGCTACTTAAAGCTGCACTGTGTAATATTTTGAGTGGAGGGTCCAACACCTGATATCGCCAGAAAATGTTATTGCTTTGTCTAGAACGGGGTTGGGAAAACTTTTTGACGAAGGGTTCTAAAATTTGCAGATGGTAGTGGATTTTTTTGGTAACCCACCTCATAAGAGACAAAAATAACGTGGGATATGTAGAAAAAATATCGCACATTATCAAAATATCGCGTAATTATTATCATTACGACGCATTACAACAAAATATCTGTCTTTCAAGTCCCATGGTATTTGTTTATTTTATTATTATTATTATTATTATTCATTATTCCCCGGGCCTAGAATGTTCCACAGTCTAAAGTGAACACAAAGATCATCATCCTTAATCACTGAAGGAATGTTTTTGAGCGATAGAAACACCAGGAATGACAAAACCGCTAGTGTGGAATGTTTAAAGTCATACTATGGAACATTCAAGGCAAAGCAATGACATCTGCGCAGAGACGAGCACCTTTAACTGCTGCAAAACCGGTCGTGTGCACTTTAAAACGGAGCCGCCTCCTTTCTCTGTGACCTGAATTCTGCTCGGTAGAGTCTCCAAGTGGGTCGAAAGGTGGACTTAGGTAAATGCCAGGAAATATATTATTAGAAATGCTTCCACTAATGCATTTGGGAGAGCCAGCTTCCTCCTCGGCGGATTCCCGGTAATACACACCATACATAAACGTCGACAGCGTACAGTGTAGTGGCCACGGAGGAGGAGCCATTTGCTAGAGTGGCTCTCCGGTGACTCGTTAGCAGGATAAATTAACAGTCAAGAGACAATCGGGCCTTAAAGCTGCACCGTAAAGAGCCTGAGCTGGCCTGTTAAGTCAATACGGCTTCCATCGCTTCCAACATGGCTGCAACTTTAGACGTCTTCCAGATCAATTTACTACCTTTAATAACATCCGCTAATGGAAAGAAATGTTAACGCGCGGCCATTGAAAATCTATCTCGCTCGTACGCGGTCAAGGTGGGGTGTCGGGGGGCGTTATATCGGGACGATTTCCGACGAGGAGGCGGCGGAGGCGGCATTTTTCAAGTGACAGAGTTGGATTGTGCGCTGCAGGCGGATGGGAACGGAGTAAGTGGGGTTTTTGACACGTGGACGGCAGTAAAATACTCTCTCGATCTCGGTAGCCGTGACCCCGGCGTTGGCGCGGATAAATCACAACCCGCACATAAACGATCGCGAATAGGGGAGGAATCGCCGGCGGGAGAGAGGGGTACGCGGAGAGCGACGGGGGGAGAGAGAGAGAGAGGGATGGAAATATGACGGAGCGACGGGAGGAGGGGGGGGAAAGCCGCGTCATAAACGATAAGTGGTGGCAATCTGTTGGTGCGGGCTAAGAGAGCGACTTCACGGCTCATTACCAATCAGGCTCCTCCTGTCAGCGCCACTCTGAATAGACAGGCCTGAGTGGGAGAGGATGTATCTTTTCCTAGCTCCTAACTCCTAGCTCCTAGCTCCCTCCATTGGTTCGTCCCGTGACCCTGCGATGTCCGCCACACCTCACTCGCGTCGTCTGATCGTAAAACTTGTCCGTCCTAAAGTTATTAGACTGTTTTAAGTGTGTTCTTAAAGCTACCATGTGTAAATTTGTTTGATTATTTTTACAGATTGTATCTTTTAAGTGTAGATATTGACAGAAGAGCTGCGAGGACGGTAGTTTAGGCCATGTCCTTTCCTTTTCTCTCTCTTTTCTCTCTTTTGACCCTGTAAGGCCGCCACACTTCACTCCCTTAAGCCCGTAAAACTTCTCTACGCAATTTTTAGTGTGTTCTTAAAGCTGTTAAAGCCCATGTGTAAATTTATTTGATTTTTTTTTTTACCAGTGCCAGATGTAAAACCTGTTCCCCCTCCTCAGTTGCCTCGCGTTTGTTCAGGTTACTTTCAGACAGCAGTAACGTAGACAACAAATAGTGGTGACATATGGGAACAGAACAAGGGCGGGTCACCCAAAACTAATTACAGATGGTAGCTTTAAAGCGAAGATATTGACTGTAGAGTCGTAAGCAGGAGACAATAAGCCACATCCTTTCCTAGCGCCTTCCTCTTTTGACCCTGTGATGTCCGCTACACTTCACTCGCGTATGATCATAAAAGTTGTCCGTGCCAAAGTTATTGGGCCATTTTAAGTGTGTTCTTAAAGCTACCATGTGTAAATTTGTTTGATTATTTTTACAGATTGCATCTTTAAAGTGCAGATATTTACTTTAGAGCTGTGAGGAAGGTAGGTTAGGCCACGTCCTTTCCTTTTTGACCCTGTAACGCCAACACACTTCACTCTCTTAAGCCCGTAAAACTTCTCTACACCATTTTTAGTGTGTTCTTAAAGCTGTTAAAGCCCATCTGTCAATTTATTTGATTTTTTTTAAACCAGTGCCAGATGTAAAACCTGTCTCCCTCCTTCTTTACACAACCTTTGTTCGGGCTCACTTTCAAACAGTAGTAACATAGACAAAAAATAGTGGTGACAAATGAGAATACAACAAGGGCGGGTCACGCAAACTAGTTACAGATGGTAGCTTTAAAGCGAAGATATTGACTGAGCAGGAGACAATAGGCCACATCCTTTCCTAGCTCCTACTTCCTAGCTCCTTCCTCTTTTGACCCTGCGACGTCCGCTACACTTCACTCGCGTATGATCGTAAAACTTGTCCGTGCCAAAGTTATTCATCTGCTTTAAGTGTGTTCTTAAAGCTACCATGTGTAAATCTGTTTGATTATTTTTACAGATTGCATCTTTAAAGTGTAGATATTTACTTTAGAGCTGTGAGGAAGGTAGGTTAGGCCATGTCCTTTCCTTTTTGACCCTGTAACGCCGACACACTTCACTCCCTTAAGCCCGTAAAACTTCTCTACGCCATTTTTAGTGTGTTCTTAAAGCTGTTAAATCCCATCTGTCAATTTATTTGATTTTTTAAACCAGCAACAGATGTAAAACCTGTTCCTCCTCCCCCTTCACATAACCTTTGTTCGGGCTCACTTTCAGACAATAGCAACGTAGATAACAGATAGTGGTAACAAATGACAATACAACAAGGGCGGGTCACGCAAACTAATTACACATGGTAGCTTTAAAGTGAAGATACTGGCTGTAGAGTTGCGAGCAGGAGAGAAAAGGCCACATCTTTTCCTAGCTCCTCCCTCTTTTGACCTTGCGATGTCCGCCACATCTCACTTCCATATGATCGTAAAGCTTCTCTGCACCAAAGTTGTTATTTTTTTGTTTTAATAGTAGCAAATGTGCGGATTTTCATTGTAGAGCCGTGAACAGAATACGAAAAGCCACGTCCTTTCCTACCTCCTACCTCCTAATTCCTACCTCCTAGTTTCCGCACTTGGTTCATCTCATGACCCTGCGAAATTTGCCACCTCACGCTCATGAAAACAATAATAACTTTGACGCAGATAAGTTATTTTTTTAGTTTGAATATTAGCAAAATGGGTTTTTAAAGTGTAAATATTGCCATGGAGGAGAGTAGGATAGGCCACATCCTTTCCTAGCTCCTACTTCCTAGCTCCTTTTGACCTTGTGATGTCCGCCACACCTCACTTTCCTATGATCGTAAAACTTCTCTGCATCCAAGTTGTTATTTTTTTAGATTTAATCGTAGCAAATGTGTGTTTTCCCAGTGTGGATATTAATTGTAGAGCCCTGAACTGAATAAGAGGACAAGCCGCATCCTTTCCTAGCTCCTATCTCCTAGTTCCTACCTCCTAACTCACCTCACACTCACGAAAACTTAACTAAGCCAAAGTTTTTATGTTATTTTTTTAGTTTGATTATTAAAAAAATGGGTTCTTAAAGTGCGGATCTTGCCATGAGGAGGAGAGCAGGATAGGCCACAATCTTTCCTAGCTCCTATCTCCTAGTTCCTATCTCCTAGCTCACTTCACACTCATGAAAACTTATCTGCATCAAAGTTATTGTTATTTTTTTAGTTTGAATATTAACAAAATCGGTTCGTAAAGTGCGGATCTTGCCATGAGGAGGAGAGCAGGATAGGCCACATCCTTTCCTAGCTCCTAACTCCTAGTTCCTACCTCCTAGCTCACCTCACACTCATGAAAACAATAACTTTGGCTTAGTAAAGTTTTTTTTTTTTGCCAAAATAGTTGAAAAATTGGTTCTTAAAGTGCGGATCTTGCCCTGAAGAGGAGAGCGGGATAGGCCACATCCTTTCCTAGCTCCTAACTCCTAGCTCCTGCCTCCTTGCTTCTTCACTCGGCTCCTCTCGTGACCCTGTGAAGCCCGCCAACTTCACTCGCACGCTTGTAAAAAAAAAAAAAAAAAAAAAAAAGTTGTTATTTTTTTTATTTTTGTGAAACTACTGTTAGCTCCCCGAGTCCTCGCTCCTAAATCCTAACTCCTCGCTTCCTCGCTTGGCTCATCCCGTGACCCTGTGATATCAGCCACACCTCATTTCTGTCTGATCGTAAAAACCGCACCAAAGTTTTTCCAGCGCGCTCCCTAAATCAGCTCGGTTTATGCCGCCGTTGTCAACCCAGTTTTTATGTCATTCCAGGTACGCGCTGACAGCTTGCAAAGTGATTCTTAAGCTCGAGACGGCACCACCTGAATTTGTACTTTTAAGCGAAGACAAGTTGAAATTTAGTGTCCTCATTTTGAATTTCTTGATGTTGAAGACTCTTTTTTTTCCTGTATCAAACTACCGATCTTCTTTGACAGCGCCTACAGAAAAGGTTTCCCATTGGAAGACTGCTTTCCCACCAACACAAATATATCCATTGTTTATGCGCAGATGCAGAAGTGACATAATCCTTCACCCTCCTACACTACAGTTCCTCTTTTAGTACGCCAGTCAAGTCCGTGTGAAGGCCCCAGTCATTGCAATAGGGTGAGCAGAAGCAGTGGGAGACGAGTTCATCTCTATTTCGGTGAGAGTTCTTTTTCTTTTCTCTTTAAGGGACAAGATTTGAGCCGAGATCCAATGATAAAACTTCCTCCGGTTCCTTCAGTCCATAATCAGGCTGCACTGTGGTGATTAATAACAATAGACTATTTGAAATCAATCGTAAAAAATAAAAGTGGATACATTTCTCTTCTCTTTTCAGACAAATCCTTACAAGGACTCTCCCCTCCTCCGCGCGATCGCTTTATACGTACACCGCAGTCCGTGAGATCACCGAGCCATCCCGCTGCGACTCCATATCGTCGTCGAGGTAGTCGCCGATGATGTGATCCTGGTCGTGGGGGCGCAGCTGCAGGATCGGGGCCCCTCCTCCGAAATGATCGTACCGCTCGTCTTCCTCCAGCTCGTCGAACTTTCTCCTCTCGGCGTCGTCCAGATCATTGCTGAGCAGGATGTCTTGGGCCGTGGGGGTGGTGCCGACACCTTCGGGGCGCCCCCCGATGGTGAGGGGCTGGTGGTGGTTGTTTTTCTCGCCGACGCCTTGGTGCCCGGTGCTCTCATTGTAAACGTAGATGGGCCCGTTGTTGTTGGCCCCGCCCACGCCGCCGGTCCCCGCCCCGCCGTTGGTGCCGTTTTTGCTGGACTTCTTCCCGCCCCCGAATATGCGCGTCTTCATGTCGCTGCCCCCGTTGGCGCGGTAACCCTGCTGCTGCCGGCGGCTACGGGTCACCAGCACGGCGATCAGAGCGGCGACCAGCAGGAGGGCGAGCAGGGAGCCGATCACAGCGCCCGCCACCACACCCGCGTTGGAGGGGTCCACGACGGGTTCTAAGGGAGCGGGAGACAAGGAGGAGGAGAGAAAAAACTGGTTTAGAAAAAAAGAAAAGAGACAGAATAAAAGAAGCTAAGGATAGTGCAGAAGTGTGAAATGTGAAAGTAAACCAAAACCTTTATGCAAAAGAAGCAAAAAAGAACCTTTGTTTTGTTTTGTTTTTTTCAGCTGGGGCTAGTTGACTAATAAAAATTCGTCACAGTAATTTACGTTGAAATTTAAATGAAATCTGAAAGCGAACTAATTGAAAAAAACAACATTTATCAATTACTATTAATGTTTTCCGATAGTGTTTTAAATGCCGGTACATTAGATTAGAAGTAGATTGTTCCAGATTGTGTGGGCCAGTACGAGCGCCCATATCATTCAAACGTAAATGAGTTTTTTTTTTAATTACATTTTCTTAATTGGCTGAAGCAATGATTGAAATCACTGTTCAAATCAATTCATTACACGGCCTTTGTAAGCCCGTATCAGTATTCTATTAATGCGAAAATTTGGACAAGTATCATTTTTATCAGATGGTAAAAGCTATTGACAAAACTCCAATGCCGTTTTTACCTGGAATAATAAATTTTGTTGAGGAATTGTACTTTAATTCAAGCCAAAAAAGGTCAGACAAAAGTTAAAAGATGAATATTACGCTATTTTCTGATCTGTTATAATGTTTTGTTTTTAGAGTTTTGTTTTCTTTCATTCACACAACACAGAACTCCTGCATTTCTTCTCTCAAACAGAAAACACTCTGCTCCACCTTGTGATGTCATGGTAGTGCTCCACTGTGGTTTTAAACTCCATACACCTTATTCAGTATAAACATTTGGATCATTTACAAAAAATAACTTAAAGGGACAGTCTAGAACTTTGGACATAGGGTCTCATTTCCTAGTGAGCCAGAGTGTTGGAGACGTGTGGAGACACTTTTTTAAATATTCCATCCAGTCCTTGTGTTTGCAGAGGTCGCTGGTGCTAGGCTAGTGCAAGTCAATGGCCATAGTTAGCCTGACACTAAAAACAGTCTTACCCACTCCACAAAACACCCAAAATAAATCTATTATTACACCAAATTATCAATAGAATCATAGTAAAACGCATTTGAAAGATTTATGTCTGAGCAGCAGCAGTGAGTTGTACTTCCTTATAGAAAGCTGGGCAACGGCGGACTGATATATGAGAAAATAGTCCCTCCTCAACATGCAACAATTCACGCGATACAAGGTTAGTTTTACTTCAAACATTATTCTATCGACACAGACATTTACATCGATAGTCTGGTGTAATAATAGTTTTGTTTCGGGTGTTTTGTGGAGTGGGTAAGACTGTTTTTAGTGGCAGGCTAACTATGGCCATTGACATGCACTAGCCTAGCACCAGCGACCTCTGCAAATACAAGGACTGGATGGAATATTTTAAAAAGCGTCTCCACACTTCTCCAACACTCTGGCTCAATAGGAAATTATGTCTGTTTAACTTGAAAACTACCACTTCATGACTTCACAAGGTGGAACGGAGCATTTTGAGGTTTGGAGATGTAGACAGAATGAAGCAAAACACAACTCCAGTTATGTTTTTGATAAGTAAACAACATTATAACATGTCTTAAAGCTCAGAAGAGTCAATTTTGTGTAATATAGAACCTTTTAAGAGATGCAATTACGCTTCTGTTGAGTATATTGTGAGTGTGTTCGTGTGTGTAATTGTGTTTATGACATTTCTTCTACCCCTCAGAGCTGCTCGTGTCCTCAATCCCACAGTTATAAAAAAAAAAAAAAGTAGACTTGGTTTTGCTGTCTTTTCTAAGCCAGGATCTAGCTTTCTTTCAGTCTTTCTTTCTCTCTCTCTTTCCACACCACAAATCACAGACCAGCCGGTGTAGTGGGGGGTAAATGGTCGAAGCAAGGTGCACTTTGAAGAGGAGAGCCGTGTGCAGAAGGTGGAGGCCATGCAAGCGAGATAAATGATAGATAGATGGGCAGTGAGCGGAGAATGAGATGGAGGAGAGGAGATGGAGAGATGGGGTTGAAGATGGAAGATGGAGGAGGGGTTTCGGTTGACAGGGTGACGCAGCGGACTGACAATTCCTCCTGGAAGCGTCGCGTACGGACCAGAGAGGACGAGAGGGCAAAAGTTTGAGACTCCAATCAGCTCCTGTTAGCCGCAAACACGACTCAAGTGAATTCCGGTGCGATATAGCTGTCACTGTATCACACACAAGAGGCTCAAAGCGAAAAACAGCGATCGCACATGCAAGAAAATAAGACAACAGACTTCAGCTGACACAGGTAAAGCATTTTCAGTATTCAAAATGGGAAAAAAAATAGTGCAAGGATCCATTTTTCACCATTTTCTGATCTGTTACAGCGTTGTTTCCTCAACAAAATCAGATCCGAAGTTGTGTTTTGTTTCATTCGCACATGTTTAAGACTCAAACTCTGCATATTTAGCGAGTTCTCTCAAACAGAAAAGACTTGTGATGTCATGTGGTAATACAGGAAGTGCTCTAGTGCAACTTCACTGGAATCATTTGGATGAGATAAGCCCTGGAATCGCGGTCCGTGTACTATTCGTTCTTTTGAATTTCAATTAAAAACGAAAAACAATACGATGTGAAAACTGTTTATTTCATTATTCCGTTTTAGTGTCAAAAAAAATAAATGATTTTGACCTTTATTTACAATATTTGATTCAAAGTTTATTTCAAATAACACCAATCAAAAAACAGTCTTGGCGCCGTTTTCAATTTTGATATTTCATTGGATTACGATGACTTTGATTGGTCGAAATCTGTTTTTTGTTTGACATTATAACGGAATAATGAAATAAACTGTTTTCCATTTTATTTATTTATTTATTTTTTTCTTCGTTCTTAATTAAAATCCAAAATAACAAATGGTATGCAGACCAATTGCCAGTGGCGGAGTTAGCAATTTGGGCCCTCACTATCATGCACCATTTTTCTGTTTTTTTGTTTGTTTGTTTGTTTTTATTGTCTGTTTTTCATTGTTCTTAAGAAATGGCACATCTCTATTTATTTAAATTATGGTGGATTGGAAACTTGTCTTATTAGTTTAGTAGCCTACTTGTTAACCAGAACTGAAAATAGTTTTTTTCGCTACAATAACATTTTTGTTTACATCCATTACATATGATGATGATTATTATTTTTCTTATGATTATTGTTTAAAAGTACACTACTCTCATTTAATGTCATACTGAGAGAAAATCAAATTGCTCCGAGGTCTTGGTTGGGGGTCCTAGGGCAGCCGCCTACTTTGGCCTAATGATAGCGCCGCCGCTGCCAACTGCCAATCTTTATTGAATTAAAAGAAAAAATTTGTCTGTTAGCGGTGTGCAAAAATATCAAAATATCGATATATCGTACCGTTTAATGTGCTGATACAGTATCGATATTGTGGGCTGCTGTATCGATATATCGTCAAGAGTATTTTAGGTATATTTTCACTAAATTAGTTTGTGTAAGAGCTGCAGTTGTGTTGACATTTTCACTGTTTTGAGTAAAATGGATGTTTTTCACATTCACGTTTCACAAACTTAGTGGACTTTTAGTATTGGAGCCATCATTTATTCTTTTTTACACTGTACAGTATCGAATCGTATTGAATCGAAAGCTCACTGTATAGAAAAGCGTATCATATCGTGGCCTATGTATCGAGATATGTATCGTATCGGTAACTTCTTAACGATACCCAGCCCTAGTGTCTGTTAACATGAAAACTACAGCTTCATGACATCACAAGGCGCAAGAGAGAATTTTGAGGTTCGGAGATGTAGACGGACTAATAACGAGAGTAATAAAGAGTTACTCAAACGTGTGTGAATGAAACAAACACAACTCCAGGTCTGTTTCTAGGGAGGTGACAGCGTAGAAACATGGCTAAAAGCTCATAAAAATCCATACTGTGCAAAATAGGACTTTTAAAAGCGAATCAGTTTTGCATGTAATGAAAGTAGACTAGCATGCAAACATAATACACCATTGCTTTCAACAAACGATAAGCCTAGTTGTTGATTTAAAGTACATTATAAGAAGGTGAGGTCAAAGGATGAAGGTCAAACATCATCAGGTCTGCTTATAAAACAACCAAATTGCAAAAGTAAATTAAAAAAGAGTAAGCAATTAAAGGTTAATCAGTTTTGCATGCAATAAAAGTCGCCAAGCATGTGAAGATAACACACTACTGCCTTCTATAAAATCATTAGGTTTTATGAGCCTCGCTGTTGAGTTTAAACACATTTTCAGAAGGCGAGGTCAAAGGATGTCGTTCAAATGGATTAAGGTATTTATCTAAAATAAATACCTTAACCTAAACAGATCTAAACAAATGAAGACTGCAAGGTTTAAAAAAAAAAAAAAAAAAAAGTGGAAGTGGAAATTATCTGACAAAATGTGCAATTTAAAAAGCAAAAAGTGAAAAATAAATGTTATAAAATGATTACGCGTGGTGTTGATTTGCAGTAGGAGTAGAAGTTGGGGTCAGAGGATGCAGTTTCAGTGGATTGATACTAACTAAAATATGAAGTAAAAACAACCAAATAAAAATGAATTAACATGGTTATTTAAAAAGATTAGCAAATAAAAGATGCAAATTAAAAGGAAAAAAATTGTTAAAAGTTAATAATAATTAGTTTTGCAAAGGCCCTGTACCTGATTTTCCGCATATATTTAAGCAAAATTTGTCTCGCCTCGTCTTGTATAGATCTTTTGTTGGCAGCTCAAGGTCAAAATATGTTTAACGCCGCGTACTTTCTGCATCTAATTATAGAACGTTTCATTGTCCGATAATCCAGGAGTGCACCGTCAGCATGATAGTTGTTGTTAGTTTTACTGCGAAAGTAAACTCCACTCATGGTTTCTGAAAGTTTTAAGTGAACTCGATCTGTTTTTCGGTACCAAATCAGGTATAGAAAATCAACCCACGCAAAATAAATTAAGACGGACAAAAAATGATTATGTATTTTTACAAAGGTCACCTAT